TGCTAAGTTTGTGCCACATTTTCAATTCCATTCTAGATAAGTTTAGCAGGATTAGTTTTGATTCAGATGGTGAAATATTTTTTAAGGTTGGCTTTGAGAAAGATGTTGCATAAGATGTTGGAATTTCATATGAAGGTTCTAGCAAAAGAGTACAAACTACTAAGTTATGTACCTTAGTTTTACATTTCTAATACTTCTGAACACTACATAATATTCAAGATTCAAATAAACCTCGTAAAATGGTGCTTGATTTCATGTTGTTTCTTATTCTAGGAGGATATTTGGCAATGTTGTGTCACCATGGCGTTTGCTACAGAGTGAGGCCAATCATCACAGCTGAAAGCGTGCGTGACCAAGATGATATCGTCGCTGTGCTTTCAAAATGTCGTATATCGTCATATACGGGATAATAAAAATTATACAGGAAGAACAAAAAACTTCACCAATTCTTTGGAAATTATCGTATCTTTAAATATTTTCGTATATAAGTCATTAAATTAGTCTGGAATTGATCAGTACCACCAAAAGATCTGCCGCATAAACTGTGACGTCATAAGGCAATATACGAAATTTTAACATCAAACTATTGATTATTCTTGGGCGTAAATTGGATATACGATTTTTTGATGAATGTAATAAGGCTTAAATTCAATCATATTACAGTCTTTATTTTCAAAAGAAATATTGTATCAGTAAACACAAAAAAGGAAACCGGTCATCTAATTGATACCTCTAAACCTATATACAGAAATTACGAAATATATGGTTTCTAGAATGGCCTAAAAATAAACTAATCTGTAATAAATGACTATTATGCCTCACACGAATGTTCATTCATGATGTAAATTGTCATAAAATGGGTGATAATCAGGTGGTATTACTTTCTTAAGTTCTTGAAGATGATTGAACTTAATTGATTTGATTTTTAAAGGCTCTATATAAAGATTGTTTAATATTATCGGATCATCAACAGTAGGAGAGCATTTCTTATTCCGTCTTGGAAGATCTTCGAACTCATCGGAAAACTTCAATTTGTATTGTATAGTGCCATCCTTGTATGATAAAACATGAATATCCGTCACAACAGGATCGCCAACATACTTCAATTTATAGGGAGGATTTACTCGAGCTGTTCGGATTAAATCAACGTAATTCTGGGGTATATAAATGGGTTTTCCGCGTAGTCTTCTCTCGATCGTGCTATGAACAGAGTCACACTCCATCTGTGTGTGGCCCTTTTCGAGATACTTTTGGGTGATCTTTATTCCCTTTTCTGTTGCAAGTTTCAGTAACATATTTGATAATATTGTGTTTCTGTTTTGATATGTACATCCGTCGCTGAAGATGATGGGTTCTCTAATGTTCGGATCCAAACCAAGAATGTAGTCAGCTAAACAAGACGCAAACGTACTACCATTCAAATCACCAATACCTTCATGCCAAAAGTAATTCATTGCTTCCTTAGTTACCAAATCAAAAATTGTGTAATTATGGCACCCCAATTTGGTTTTGTAATACATCGAGCTAGCAGTGAGTAATGNGCATAACAGGAGGGACTGCAAATCTAAAGAAACGACTTTAACTGAGCCATCAGTTTCAGCCCGAAGCTTATCACGAATCTTCTCATTTCGG